AGCACTAATACAATTGTAGTGGGGGACCTCAATACCCCACTGTCACAAATAGATCATCTAGACAAAACATCAACAACGAAATAATAGAACTGAACCAAGATTTTGAACAAATGGATTTAATAGACATCTACAGAGTGTTTCACCCCACAAAATCAGAATATACTTTTTTTTTTTGGTACCGGGGATTGAACTCTGGCCCTTGCACTTGAGGGGCAGGGGGCGGAACCACTGAGCTAAATCCCCAGCCCCAGAATATACATTCTTTTCAGTTGCATACAGGTTATTCTCCAAAACAGACTAACTCATAGAACTCACACAACAGGTTTAAGTAAATGCAAAGGAATTGAAGTTATCCCCTGTATATTATCAGACCAGAGTGCAATTAAACTGGAGATCAATAGCATAAGAAATCACAAGATGGCTGAGGATTTAGCTCAGTGGTTCCAGTGCCTGCCTCACAAGCTCAAGGTCCTGAGTTCGATCCCCAGTACCAAAAAAAAAGAAACTGTAAGAACTCCACAAACACATGGAAATTGAATAACACTCTCCTGAACAACCAATGGGTCACAGAGGAAATTAAAATTAAAGAAGAAATTAGACAGTTTCTACAAGTAAATGATAATGGCAATAGAACATACAGGAATCTATGGGACACAATGAAAGCAGTTCTATGTGGGAAATTCACAGCAGTGAATGCCTATACTAGGAAAACAGAGTGAGTGCAAATAAACAACCTAATGCTGAACCTTAAGCTCCTAGAAAAAGAAGAGCAAGACAAACCCAAAGCTCATACAAAGGAGGAAATTAAGAAGATCAGAGCAGAAATCAATGCAATAGAGACTAAGAAAATGATACAAAAAAAGTAACAAATCGAAGAGTTGGTTTTTCAAAAGAATAAATAAAATCAATAAACCCTTAGTCAACCTTATCAAAAAAAGGAAAGAAAAGTTTCCATACAATTAGGAGCAAAAAGGTGAAGTTACAACAGATCCAGCAGAAATCCAGAGGATCATCAATACCTACTTCAAGAACTTATACTCTAACAAAATGGAAAACAGAAGAAAGGGACAGATTCCTAGATACATATGAATTAAAAGTTGAATGAAGAAGATATAAAAATTCTAAACCGCCCAATTACAATCAGGGAAATTGAAAATGTAATTAAAAATTTACCAACAAAGAACAGCCCAGGTCCTGATGGCTTCACTGCTGAATTCTACAAGACATTTAGAGAATTACTGCCACTACTCTTTAAACTTTTCAGTGAAATTGAAAGGAAAGCAATACTTCCAAATTCATTCCCAAAAGCAAGCATCACCTTGATCCCAATGCAGAGAAAGAGCCAAACAAAAAAGAGAACTACAGGCCAATCTCCCTAATGAACATAGATGCAAATATCTTCAATAAGACACTGGAAAACAGAATACAGAGGGTAATCAAGAAGATCATACA